ATATGGTTGACTTCACTCATGATGAAAAGCATTAATTTATTTCACATATATTTACATATGTATTAAATGCCAAAGAGGCACTGGGCATAGAATGGTGAACATCTTACTCTCATGGAATTTACACTGTAGTGTGTGTGTGTGTGTGTGTGTGTGTGTGTGTGTGTGTGTAGTATTTAATACATCATGTAGTAATAGTGTTTTAAATTAAAAAAAGCAGGAATGGGGTGTCATTTTATAAAAAGGTCAAAGACTCTGAGATAAGGTGATAGTTAAGCAGTGATCTGAAAAAGTGAGGGAAAAAGTCATGAGGATTTCCAGGGGAACAGCTTTCCAAGAAGAGGGAACAATAAGGGCTTGGAAGCAGGAGCCAGCTTAGCTTATTCAAGGAACAGCAGTAAATCTAGTTTGTTCGAGGCAAGGCTGAGTTGATAGAAAGCTAGGTCTAAGAGACAGAGGCCAGATTCTACAGGACTTTAAAGGCCAGGATAAGGACTTGGGACTTTGCTAGGAGTGAAATGAAAAGCCTGCTATCACTTGGGAATTGTATTCAGCTACGCATAACAGGGATCCAAATAATAAAGGCTTAAATAGGATGATGCTTTGAGTATTATATTGATTCTAGGACACATCATTATTTTATGTACCAAGAAAGAGGAAAAAAATGCTGGCAAACATAATCCAGAAGCTGTCATTCAAAGATTTCAGAGATATTGAAGCATAAAGAGAGATGTAACTTGCAGAGTTGGTAGCATAATATGCTATTTTTTGCTCATGTAAGATTAGGTCCTGAGGTAATCAGTTTTTGATTGCAAGATGGCTACTCAGCTATAGCCATTAAATCCTCATTTCAGAGAGGAAGGAGAAATGAAGAAGGAGGAAATGCCTTTTATTCCTCCGTATTAATTTCGTAAAAATTTCCTCCAAAAAATTTACTGACATTTTTATTGGCATTGCATTGGTTGTGCACATCAACTTAGCACTGCCTGATGTCTAGCATAGAATGCTAAGTTGTTGATCCATATGTATATTACAGCCTCATTTATTTTTCATAAAATGGATGACTGTATGGAACATGCTTGTATTGGTATAGAAAATTTCTCAAAGGATACATTAGAAACTGTTAACAAGTGGTTGTTTAGTGAAGTCACTCAGTCGTGTCCAACTCTTTGCGACCCCGTGGACTGTAGCCTACCAGGCTTCTCCCTCCATGGGATTCTCCAGGCAAGAGTACTGGAGTGGGTTGCCATTTCCTTCTCCAGGGTATCTTCCCGACCCAGGGATAGAACCTGGGTCTCCCGCATTGCAGGCAGACGCTTTAACCTCTGAGCTACCAGCGAAGCCCAAGTGGTTGTTTGAGGGGAATAAAACTGGGTTTGATTGGCAGGGGAGGGGCTTTAACTTTTCATGTTATGCCTTCTTTCATCTTTTTATAGCTACAAATATTGTATATATTGCTTTTATAATAATAAATATCAACAAGTAACCTTAAAAGTGGAGTGTGCATTACTCTGGGGGTATAGGAAGACTTTCCAAGGGGTAAATAAGCACTTAGAGTTTGAAGGGGATCAATTTCTACATCCTCAAATTTCATTTTCATGTTTCCTAAAATTGATCTGCTAGAGAATACACTAGTAGTGAAAAAATTAAGCCGGTTCTTTTTCCATATCCCTTTTCACAAATAGTTCTCTTTGCACTTTATAAAAGAAAAACATATCTTTGATCCATCCCAAATCTTACCTGGGTGCACTGCCCCACAGTGTAAAATCCTCAGGGTACCAGAGAGACAGTTCCAAACACTGCTGCCAATGGTGAAGAAACAAACTGGTATAACAAATGTATATAATGTTACAAATCCTGTTTCAACTCAGCTGGCTTCCAGTAAAATTGAAGGCAAACCCAATTGAGCTGTCAGCTGACAAGTCATGAGAAATAATTTTGAAGATAAATCATTGTGTAATTTTCCCCCATATGTCTTCAAAGGAATTCAAATACTTGAGTGACATTTCTAAAACAAAATGTCCATTCCTGTTTACTTATTTATATAAACAAGGTTTCTATGTGTGGTTTAACCAAAAACAAAAAGTTGGAAGAGAACTGATGCTGAATCCTGCTTCATTCTAAAATAAGCAATATTTATCTATTAATACACTCACCACCTTTTAAAAAAAAGACTTACATCACTAGTAAATTGTTTTTTTGTTTAATAATTACACATCGAAATTTGTAATATGTTTATAATTTTCTGATCCATTGTATTCCAATACTAATTGTCATGATAACACAAGCAAGACTAAATTGTGAACAACATTTACAGCTTTAGGATCACAGGAACTTTTAAAAAGCATTTAAATAGCAAAATATACACATTTTTACTACAGAGAAATCTGGTAGGATAATCAATAAAATCATTTCAAGTGTAAAAAATATGTATTATTGGGATAAAATTGTTAGAATAAGAGGGAATTGAGAACTCAGGGAGAAAAGGGAAAATATACACCTCCCAAACTGTCAAAGAAGAGCTCATTTATGAATTTTTAAAACTGATGAAGGTGGCTCTCAAATCACTAACGGATTTAGGTTTCACTGCTTTCATATAAAACTGTGATGTTTTGTTTGTGAATGTTAATATTTGTCAGAAATCACATTATTTGCAGCTTGACATTTTGGATGCAAAATTTGAGATGTCAACCTAAATATGTGTGAAGGAGCACAACGTTAAAGATATTTTTAGAGAGCATTGTTATAAACCAATAGTTTTATATAAACATACAAAATAAATATCAGAGGGAGCATCATATACTCATTTGCCACCTTGTGGCCAGAGTTGTATTCAACTCCAGGCAAGGTGCTGTAATGAGGAAGGGGTCTCTCTTTAGGTCAGCCCCTTCAGCTATGCTTCCATCAGGTCTTTGTGAGGCTGAGATGGTAGCATTCGCCTGGGACTGAATCCAGACTCAAACAAGCAAGAAGCATCAAAAGGATTATGCTGACACCTGCCCCTCTCCATGTGATTCAGAGCAAAAGCAACATGCAATCAGGAAAGGAATGTAAGAAGTGCAACAAAGTTCTGACTTTTCCCATGAGGACTGCTTTAAAAAAATCAAATGAACTATTTCTGATATTCTTTTCTTGATTCTTCTGTTTTGGGTGTCTTTTCTCTACTGGTGACCTAGACACTTCCTCAGTCTGCCTTTTGGGGAACCCACTCCTGTTTCTGGCCTCTGGGGCAAGTTTGTTTGGTTCGGTGCTGGTTTCACAGCTCCTAGTGCAACACCTGGTCTGGGTTGGCGTTGAATAGACATTTGCTGAGTGAGTGGATGGCAGAGTGCACACCCCCCACCCCGCACTCACACCCCGCCACCGCCCTGGCCTCCACTTCTTCCTTAACATGCTGGACATGTGGGCTTCTGCAGGAAGATGATCAGTAAAGCTGTCAGGTTGCCATGGTTAGTCATCAGTGGGAGATAGCCTTGGGTACACTGAGATTTTTAGGTCACTTTGGTGTCTGTTACCCTGTGGAGGTGGGATGAGAGTATTTCTTGTACCTCCCCGCCCCCACCCTTATAGGAGCAGGATTCCTTCAGTGGGTGCTCTAGTTGTAGTTCCTCTTGTTGCGGGCCAAAAAGGGCAGGCATTTATTGGAAGGATACTTGGATGCTTCAAGGGATGGGAACAAGAGTTGGCTTAGGAAGGGGAGACACCAGGGCAGTTCTGGGGACCTCAGGTGTATGGGAACCAGCATTCTATCCTCTTTAAAGAAGTGAAAGTCGCTGGGTGGTGTCCGACTCTTTGTGACCCCATGGACTTACAGTTCATGGAATTCTCCAAGCCAGAATACTGGAGTGGGTAGCTTTTCCCTTCTCCAGGGGATCTTCCCAACCTAGGGATCGAACCCAGGTCTCCCACATTGCAGGTGGATGCTTTACCAGCTAAGCCACAAGGGAAGTCCTTTATCCTTCTTAAGGGCTTGTGATTCCTGACAACCAACCCCTGCTGCTGACCCTGGGAGGCCTAGGCACTAACCCCTACCTGGAGGAGGGGGCCAGGTGGAGGGTGATATCCACACTAACCAGGGAGAACTCGGCCACAATGTAATAGGGCAGCATAGCCCTACAGGCCGGGTAGTATGTACTGGGCCAAGGGCTGCCATCACTGGGGCTCAGGCACCAGACTCTTCCTGGAACACACTGTCCCCGACACTCTGCTCCTCATGAGCCTCATCCTGACACCTGCCCTGGGCTGCACTCCCCGGGACCAGCACCTGCAGCTGCTTCCCAACATCCCCAAGTTGCCCAAGACCCAAGCCACTTGCTTTGGGCTCAGTCTTTGTGAGCCCCTAGGTGCTGATCCCCATGACTCCCAGCTCAGCACAGTGGGGTCCCAAAGATGCATGGCCACCCCTCCCCATGACTGGCGGCTCTACAGATGGTAGCTGGTTTTCTGCCACTCCCACCTGCTGCCTGGGCCGGGTCTCTGCTGGGCTTGAGGGTCTTGGGACAGTGTCCTGTAGTTCAGGCCCCTCTCTCAGCTGCCAGCAGTAGGCCAGGCCTTATTGTGCCTTGGCCATCCCACCACCCCCCCGGGGCGGCTGGCTCAGCGTCTCCTGGGCCAAAAGGCTGGCTGCCAAAACCTCAGCCCACCCGTGGCCTTGGGAGCCCGAAGGAAAGGTGCAGAGGAGGTAAGGAGCAGGCACGGACAGCACAGAGCACCAATAAGATGAGCATGGGATGTGCTTCTTGGGGCCCAATGGCCTTGCGAACTCTGCCCCTCCGTATCCAGGGTCCAGGCCTGCCCCAGAATGGAGCTTCGTTCTTATGGGGCAGGGCAGAACCTGGGGTGGGCGGGGAGCCTCAGACAGGGATGGGAACCTGCTCAGCCTCAGAGATGCTGGCTGATCACCGCTTCTGCCAGCGCTCCTCCCGACCCGGCCTCTGGGGGGATGTTTCCCAGCCCCAGGGACGTTTCTGGACTAGGATACCCCTCTATCCCTGGCCCCGCAGTGCTGGGGGAGGCTGCATGGACGAAGGGAAGGACGGAGAGAGGGGAGGAGACGATGAAAGGGGTCAGAGCAGCGATTGGAGCCGAGAACTGGAAGCGCCTTAAAGAGACTGCGCGGTCCCCGCCCCCCTTCCCGCCAGCCTCAATGAATTAGAGCTGTGTTTCTCAAACTTGCCTGCTCATAAGAATCTTCTTGGGCCCTAGTTAAAGATACAGGTTCCGGAGCATGTTCCTTCGGGATTCTGATTCAGTGGGGCTGCGGGTGGAGCCGAGGAATCTGTAATTTTAACACGCTCCCCACGTGATTCTCGTGAACAAGCAAGTTTGGGAAATATTGAATTAAAGGAAACCGGACCTGGCTGCAGAGCGGCCTCCGCTAGGGGGCTACGGCAGGAGGATTCCCGGGGGCGTCGCCTGCTTCCGCCGCCGCCTCCTTCAGTGAAAGTCCCTTTTGGGTCCAGCTGCCACAGCCACCGCGCTCCCTCAGGCCGGACGGGGGACACCCCTGGTCTGCGTGGCCCCCGCGCCGCCACGCCCAGTGGCCGCCCCAGCCCTGCGATTAGGGGGAGGAGCCGCTGCCAGTGGAGGCGGAGGAGCAGAGGAGGCGGAGACGGCAGAGACGGCGGAGAAGGCGGAGAGGAAGGTGGAGGCGGAGGCGAAGGTGGAGGGGAAGGTAGAGGCGGCGGGGAAGGTGGAGGCGGCTGGGAAGGTGGACGCCACCGGGAAGGTGGAGATTGTAGAGGGTCCGGGACGCCGGGTAGAGCTCAAGCTGGAGCCCGAACCTGAACCCGAGCCGGCACGGGAGGCGGAGCAGGAGCCGAAGGGGGAGCTGAAGCCGGAGCCTGAGGATGAGAACCCGGCGCGGAGTGGCGGTGGCGGCGGCAGAGACGAGGTTCCTCTCCCCACCCTTCCCTCCGACCCCCCGCGGCCCCCCGATCCTTCCCCGCGGCGCAGCCGTGCCCCCCGCCGCCGACCCCGGCCGCGGCCGCAGACCCGGCTCCGTACCCCGCCGCAGCCTAGGCCACGGCCCCCGCCCCGGCCCCGGCCCCGGCGCGGCCCTGGGGGCGGGTGCCTGGATGTGGATTTCGCGGTGGGTCCACCAGGCTGTTCCCACGTGAACAGCTTTAAGGTGGGAGAGAACTGGAGGCAGGAACTGCGGGTGATCTACCAGTGCTTCGTGTGGTGTGGAACCCCAGAGACCAGGAAAAGCAAGGCAAAGTCGTGTATCTGCCATGTGTGTGGCACCCATTTGAACAGACTCCACTCTTGCCTTTCCTGTGTCTTCTTTGGCTGCTTCACAGAGAAGCACATTCATGAGCACGCCGAGACAAAACAACACAACTTAGCAGTAGACCTTTATTACGGAGGTATATACTGCTTTATGTGTAAGGACTATGTATATGACAAAGACATTGAGCAAATTGCCAAAGAAGAGCAAGGGGAAGCTTTGAAATTACAAGCCTCCACCTCGACCGAGGTTTCTCACCAGCAGTATTCAATGCCAGGCCTCGGTGAGAAGTATCCAACCTGGGAGACAACCAAACCTGAGTTAGAACTGCTGGGCCACAACCCTAGGAGAAGAAGAATCGCCTCCAGCTTTACCATCGGTTTAAGAGGACTGATCAATCTTGGCAACACGTGCTTTATGAACTGCATCGTCCAGGCCCTTACCCACACTCCGATCCTGAGAGATTTTTTCCTCTCTGACAGGCACAGATGTGAAATGCCGAGTCCGGAGTTGTGTCTGGTCTGTGAGATGTCTTCGCTTTTTCGAGAGTTGTATTCTGGAAACCCATCTCCTCATGTTCCCTATAAGTTGCTGCACCTGGTATGGATACATGCACGGCATTTAGCAGGGTACAGGCAACAGGATGCGCATGAGTTTCTCATCGCAGCGTTAGATGTCCTGCACAGGCACTGCAAAGGTGATGATGCTGGGAAGGCGGCCAGCAATCCCAACCACTGTAACTGCATCATTGACCAAATTTTCACAGGTGGCCTGCAATCTGATGTCACCTGTCAAGCCTGTCATGGTGTCTCCACCACAATAGACCCATGCTGGGACATCAGTTTGGACTTGCCTGGCTCTTGTACCTCCTTCTGGCCCATGAGCCCAGGGAGGGAGAGCAGTGTTAACGGGGAAAGCCACATACCAGGAATCACTACTCTCACGGACTGCCTGCGAAGGTTTACGAGGCCAGAGCACTTAGGAAGCAGTGCCAAAATCAAGTGTGGTAGTTGCCAAAGCTACCAGGAATCTACCAAACAGCTCACAATGAATAAATTACCTGTCGTTGCCTGTTTTCATTTCAAACGGTTTGAACACTCAGCCAAACAGAGGCGCAAGATCACTACATACATATCCTTTCCTCTGGAGCTGGATATGACACCGTTCATGGCCTCGAGTAAAGAGAGCAGGATGAATGGACAGTTGCAGCTGCCAACCAATAGTGGAAACGATGAGAATAAGTATTCCTTGTTTGCTGTGGTTAATCACCAAGGAACCTTGGAGAGTGGCCACTACACCAGCTTCATCCGGCACCACAAGGACCAGTGGTTCAAGTGTGATGATGCTGTCATCACCAAGGCCAGTATTAAGGATGTGCTGGACAGTGAAGGGTATTTACTGTTCTATCACAAACAGGTCCTGGAACATGAATCAGAAAAAGTGAAAGAAGTGAATACACAAGCCTACTGAAGTGACACACAGACCTACCTACCTGGAGTGGAAGATGACAGTGCCCATACTACAACTGGCATCAAGATTTAAAGGACCTACTTGCATGGCCCACGGGCCTGATAGAGTAAGAATTGAACAGTTTCCAGTGTCTAAAAGGTCCTGATTGTAAGAGGAATAGAAGGGGTGGGAGAAGAGGCTCTAGTCTAAGCAGTCACTTAAAGGAAGATTAAATGGCAGGATGCTCTGGGCGGGGCAGGCAGGAGTAGGGAAATCAGACACTGGTCCATATCCTATATTCCTCCAAAAGATTGTGTGGGAAAGTGTGGGGTGGGAGGGGGGTGGTGTGGGGGGGATGTGTGCCCTTGTAACTGTAAAACATCTTTCTCCATGGGTGTTTCAGCTTCAACTGACCAATCACATAACAGTTATATGTTTGGGGGAGAAAAAAGAAAAGCTTATACAAATGTAGCCCATTACATATATGGGTAGGAAAGTGGAAAAGCGGAGGAAGCAGGGATATTTCATTGACAAACACCTTTGCCAGTTTCTTTGTATTCGTGATTTTTTTGTGCTATTAAATGCAGTATTAAACAAAGAAAAGCCCATGTGGGCCTGTGAAACAAGAAAAGGGGGTTTTTGTATAAGGGGAGCAATTGCTCCAAAAGTAGAGAAGACAAGAAACACTGTAAGATAAACCAACACAGACAGGCCTCAGCTAAGAGTTTAGTGTGTGAGTGTTTAAAAAAAAAAAGCTGTATGATATACTTGAGCAAATCAATGAACCTCTTTGCGATTGTTTTCTCATCTGTACAATGCAGATAATTCCTACCTTAACGGGTTATTGTTAAAGATTAAGTGATATAAAATGTGTCAAAGTATTAATTAAAAAGGCTTGGGACTTTGTACGGGCTCAGTGAACATTTGTTGCATCTGAAACTTCTTTGGTCCAGGACCAGAATGCGTTAGAGGTGAGGGTCAGCCCTACCTGAGACCCACGGACAAAAATGACACACACTGTGTCAGATGCAGTCACACACACACACTTATAACTTCCTCCCCAGTACTGTTTTGTTTTTTTTTTGAGCCCCCAAGGCAGTGGATTCCACTATTGTCCCTTGGGTACAGGGCATTACAGTCAGTGCCACATTCAAGACTGGGGGGAGAATCACAGGTGTCCCCCCTCAAAGTCATTATTCTGTCCAGTTGGAAGACTCATGTTGTTATCATGACTCAGCACCCCAGGGATGGGACTCGGGGCCAGTAGGCTGCTCAGCTTCCACGTGAGGGTGTTGGTGGTCTTTGCCCTCCACAAGTGTTATGGACATGGCTGCATCCACCTGCAGGCATAGATCATGAAAAGACTTCCAAAGCTCACTGGTCTACCAGCCCAGGGATAGCGGGGGAGTGGCATGTTGGCCCCCTCCCTGATTCTCACAGAGGGCTAAGCCCAAACAGATGGGATGTGCCCAGGACGGGTTAAGCCCTGGTGGTGGTTCCTTCTTTTATCGTCTTCATGAGATACAAAAGGACATATTACTTAGAAAATATGAGGGGGAGGGGAACTAAACATTTCAGACCCGTGGGACTTGCATCCACTGGCTCTGGTAAAAGGCTGGGCTCCTCCCACAGCCCCCCAAGTCTACTTCATGGTCAGTTCATTTGGTAGTATATGTTTATTTGTGTGGTTGTGGCTGCATCCCCAACTAGCTCACAGGCATTTTTAGGACAGGGATTGTCTCTCCTCTTGTACCCTGGGCTGCATTCTCAGTCCCTAGAGCAGCCCCTAGGACATAGTATTTGAAACATTTTCTGGATGGATGAATGAACTCAAACACCTTCCTTTCATAACCAAATTTTCCTCACTCCCCAGGGCTCATTATCCTCAGGAGAAAATGTAAAAAGTCTTACTTTTGGTATCTTGTAGGCTGGGGGAGAGCAAGAGGCAAGTGGCCTCGGATGCCACTTGGCACCTTCATGCAGGTATCTGACTTCCCTTTGGGATGTGTGGGAGCCCTGCCTGGGCAGACAGCCACGTCCTCCTTCCTCATCCCTCCCACAGGAAGAGTTCAGTCAGGCATGTCCACCAGATCCTGACTGCTTGCACAGACACTTTGACATTTGTAAAACATTTTTATTTGGAAGTGATTTCTATTTTATAGGAAACTTAAACAGTTTAAAGAACATCCATATACCCTTTACCAGATTTACCTATTGCTAACATTTTACCCCCTTTGCATCTATGCACTCGTGTGTGTGTGTGTGTCTGTGTGTTTGGACAAACTGAGGCCAAATTACATCATGGCCTTTTATGCCCAAGTACCTCAGTGTGCACTTCCTACAATTAGGCATATTCCCTACATCACAGTATAGTTAACCGCTTCAGCAAATTTAACATTGATATAATACTGTTATCTACACTTGTACTCCAGTTTTGTCTGGTGACCCAGTAATGTCCTTAATAGCATTTTCCCTCTTCGTCATAGCATCTGGTCCAGGATGAGGTGTTGCTTTTAGCTGTCATGTCTCTTTAGCCTCCTTTAATCGGGAATATTTCCACAGCCTTTCTGCATCTTGTATGGCATTAGCATTTTTAATAGAACATTCCTCACTCCGGGTTCATCTGATACAGAAACTGTCTTTTAAATACCCTATACTCAGGAATAGGTCTAAGATATGAATGGCATTGAGACTGAAACTGACCTCCCTGTCCCCACTGGTGAAAGGCATAGACCACCAGAGGGAGCAGCTGTACCTGGCACTTTCTGATTGAAACATTCACCTCCTCTGTCTGGCAAACACCACTGTCCCTCAGCAACAGGGGAGCCATTCGAGCCCAGCCCTATGCTCTCCCCATCACGAACCCCCAGACTGAACCATGGAGTGTAACAACAGCAGGGCCTGCTTTCAGATCACATCACTGTGGAGCCCAGGGCATCGTGTACTGTGCAGGTATGTGTTAGCTTGAGCTCAAATGCAATTCAGGCATGTTTGAGCATGTCTGATACACTGGTGAGCACCTCCATGGTCGGGGCCTTTAGGGGGTCAGGAGGTAGCACCCTTGGCACCTTCTTCAACGTTCCCATGGTGGGAACAGCAGCAGTGGGGTGGCAGGGGAGGGATAAGTAATTTTGAAGCAGCTTCATGGACAAAGCACACAAAAATGGGGCACAGACTTAAGTGAGGAGGAACATGGGAGAGGCCCAAAACAGATTGGTTTCTGACATAACTGAGGACTTTCAGACAGCATTGGGCTATTTTACATGGGCGCTGGAATTCCGGTAGGAGCAGATACGGGCAAGAGGTGGTGAAATTTAAGGTCGTTCTTTAATTGAGACTCTCTACTTCCACAAGCTGGTAAGGCCAGGGAATCTCAGTTCATATGTGGATTTATGATCTGGGCTCAGAAGGGTACAGGCAAAAGATGGGTGCTTGCACCTGGGAGCTCATCCACCCACAGAACTCACGGGGACATACATTTCATCCACTGTACATGCTTCCTATGGGTTCTTGGCCTGATTTAATTGGAAATCCAGAACCCTATCACTTCCCATTTCCTGGAGTAACCAGGTGCTGAAACTTATTCTGGCTTACAGGTCACATTAGGTAACTGCCTTACTTCTTCCCCTTCCACTGGGAATCCTGATCAGGGATGCCACCAACCAAGAGGTCTTTTCCAATCAAGAAACAGAGTGGCCTCCATACTACTCATTGCCATAATACAAAAGACCTGGTGCTAGGAACCTATGTTTGCATCAAATGTATATTTCACATCCAGAAGCAAAGGCCCCCATCCTCCGAGAGTATGTAGCCCAGCACCCACAGCAGTGTATCATTTACACACTGACTTAATGCTATGTTTAAATTCTTGCATCAAAGCATGTCAGATATACAGGAAATGCACATATCATCAGGGTGCAACTTCATGAATTTTTGTAAAATGAGCACATCTCTGTGAACAGCACTCAGATAAAGAAATAGAACGTTACCCATAAGTCAGGCCCCCTTCCTGCCTCATTCAAGTCAATAACCCCAAAGGGTAATCCCTATCTTGACTTCTTTCACTGTAGATTAGTGTTGCCTTTTAAAATGCCATCTATAAATGGAAATGTTCAGTATGTACAGTTTTGTGTCTGGCTTCTTTTGCTCAACATTATTTTGTGAGCTTCAGATCTGAAGTCTTGTTATCAAGCAAAATTATGTGGAATGTCATTATTTCTGTCTAATGAACTGAAAGTAAGGATTTCCTACTCTTCCTAGTGATGTCTCACTTATTGAACCAATTCGAAGGGACCCTGGTCATTGCAAAGTTGAACCTTGCGAGGGTCTATAATGGCCTTCATGCACAAGAAAACAGTGGATGGAAAACAGCCTGCCAGATAAGTTTGGACTTATTTAAGCACCCAGAAATGTTCATCTTGGGCAGTACTCCAGCCTTGTTCCAATAGCTCCTGGATGGGATACTCTATTGTAGTAAGGCCTCACACATAAACGTGCATCAGAGTCACCTAGAGGGCTTGTTAACACACAGGTGGCTGGGTCCTGCCCCCAGAGTTTCTGATTTCAGTAGATCTGGGATGGGGCCGGTGAGGTGGGTTGAGAATTTGCATTTGTAACACATTCCCAGGTGATGCTCATGCTTCTGGCTCTGGGACCACACTTTGACAACCACTGATCTATTCAATTTGTTTTCACACTGTGGTACTTGGGGCCAGAAGAGTCTATGAAGATGGCCTTGGGGAACAAGAGGAGGGGCAAATTAGTGAGGATCAGGAACTCTGAAATATAAAATCATTAAGAGAGAGTTATTGATTATGTATTTGGAAATTCCAAGTAATATTTGAAGAAAGTTCTGCTACTAAAATGTTTTAAAGTTGAAAATCACTTTGCTAAGGAACTTTAGACCCCAGGGGAATGATGTATTTAAACTATGTAGGTGGTATATCTGGAGAATGATGCAGCATGCTGCAAAGATCTGGCCTCATATGTGCCCTTAATCTAGATGATCCCGAGGTGGATTA